CGGGCCTCCTGCCTGCCCACCCCTGCAAGGGCTTACCGTGCTGCAGCCACTGGGGACTTCTTTCCGGGGTCTATCACACCCCCCGCAGGCTCCTCCCCCAAGGAGCGCGTGTCCTTGTTCAGCTGCTGCAGCCGAGAGCTCAGCTCGCTAATCACAGTTGGTTTGTCATCCTCAGCCCCATGGATTGGCCTGCTGTCCAGGGGGTCCCCCCACAGCTTGGACCTTCGCTGGAAGAGGTAGCGTGGCCGGCCGATGCTGGCGGAAGCCAGGATGGCCGCGTGTTGCTGGGAGATTAGCTCGCTGTCCGAAGACTGCTTCAGAAGTGGGTCCCTGAAAGTAACCGGCCCCTTGCTGAGCTGGGACTTGAGTTTTGGCTTTGGAGGCACAGGTGGCTTCTCGAGTATAAAAGTTTGTCCGTCCGCAAAGGAAGTGTATGTGTCAGTGGGCTCCCCACTCTCCGAGGACAACGTGGACATGCTGGAGACGGTGGAGATGGTGCTTGTGGTCTCCAGGTGATGGTCACTTGAACTTCTGGTGTCCACCTCTTCCACTCCTGAGTCTGCGGCAGACTCCGGGGCTGTGGGGGCATCAGAGGGCTTCCCTGAGGGTGTTCCACCAGTGGTAGAAGGTGCTACTGCTGCCGCTGGTATGGATGGCGTGGCAACTGCTGGAGCGGCCAGTTGGCTGATGGGCGTGCCGGGGGTGGTGACCAGGACCCCGTTGGCGAACTCATCCGGGGGAGGGACCAGACCGATCTTGGCCAGCTCCTCCCTTGTCTCCTCGTCGCTCGAAGACAGCTGAGCAGGTGGCAGTGTGACCGTGTACGGCTCCACTTCTTCCTCCGAACTACCTTGTCCGAGAGTCTTGTCCGAGACTGGGCTGACGGGGGCCTTCGCCACAGGGCTGGGCTGGGCCTCGGCGGCGGGCAGCTCGGTGGGCTCCGGACCGGCCTCAGGGACGGGTGGCTTCTCCTCCTTCATCTCGAGCCCGAGGTCTTGGCCGTTGCTGGTCGCGTGCACCATGATGAGGCCGGCCGTCTTCTGCTGGGACGTGTCCATGATGCTGATGATCATGGATTTCTTGTCCTCGGCTTTCTTCTCCTCCCTCACGGGCGTCTCCGCGCGCGCCTCACCCTCTCTCCTCACAGTTGTTGGTATCCCCCAGTGGCTTTGCGTGGGAGTCAGCGTGCCCGGTGTCGGCGCCTTGGCTCCGGGGGAATAGGCAGGTGAAACGAGGCCCTCCAGCCCCCCCCGCTCTTGTTCTTTGGTTTGGATGTCCACAAAGAGGGGTGCGGCGCGGTCAGAGTCCGGGCTGTGGATCGGGGTGGGCGCTCTGGAGGGGACCTGGGTGGAAAGGGCCCGCTCCCTTGCGGCCAGCGCAAGTGCCAGGGGAGAGTTGGGGTCCAAGGGCTTCCCCGTGAGGGGGTGGATGAAGGTGGAGGAGGAACTACTAATTAATGGCTTTAAAGCTGAGACGGGAGAAGGCAGGAGCACGTCCCGGCTCCCCAGCAGCCGCTCGTCGATGGACCGCGACTGCTGCAGGGATGGCATTTCTATCGTGGGGGGGCTCCCTTCGATGGCCCCGACGGAGAGGAAGACAGTGGATTTCCGCTTCTCATCCAGGCGCCGCTCCCTGTCCTTCATGACTCCAGCGATGGCCGTGGTGAAGGGGAGGCTGGCGGGGTCCACCTGCGACTGGTACTCCAGGCCGCTCAGGCGATGGCTGCGTCGGGTGGGGGACGGCTCCCGGGCGAAGCCTCCCGCCACGGAGAGCGCCGCCCGCTCCTGGGCGTCTTCCACCTGCAGCTGCTTCACCAGGGGGCTCTTCTTCCTCTGGGGCTTGGCGGGGGCAAAGAGGCTGACGTTGAAGGGCCCCATGTTGGCGTAGGGGTTGTCGACCCCCCGGCCCTTCCGCTTCAGCTTCTCGGGTGGCGTGGCAGACGGGCCGGGCCGGGGGATGTCGGTGGGCTCCACGGGGATGTGGGAGGAGTCCTGGAGGATGATCATGGAGCGGGCCCGCTTCTGCCTCTCCGGGTACGGGATGGAAGTCCTCGCTTGGTCGTACATCTCCGCGGCGCTGATGACCTGGGGCAACCCGTGGAGCTTGGCCTCCAAGCCCGGCTTGAAGCTGGACCGGATGGTGTCGTAGACTCTCCCCGGGGGCGGAGGGGGGAGGAAGGATGGGGGTGCGCCCGTGTCAAAATAATAGGGGGAAGGCGGAGGGGGCGGAGCGGTCTGAGGTGGGGGTGGGATGCCGGGCCCTTCTCTGACAGTATCTTGCATTGAGGTGCTTCTGGGAAATTTCCCATCCATTAGGGAGGCAGCAAATTTCTCATCTTCACCTGCAAAGCAGCACAACAGTCACATTAGAGTTGCTGAACAAGGCGGCAAAGTACGTCTACAGACCCACGTCCATGTCAGGGACCCCCCCAACCTTTCTGAGCCCGTGGACACTTTTGGAACACCAACGCACACAGCACAGTAGGTTCCAACTACAAAATGGCCACTGCAAGAGGCGGAGACAGACACAAAATGGCCGCCACGGCTCACCTTCAGTCACCCAATGAAGATTCTTGTGCTGTGGTGGCAGCTGCTGCCTAAGCAATGTTTTTGGACATCTGCACAACCGATCAGATCTCCAATGGACAGACAGAAGCCTTGCTGGGCAGAAGGCCCGTATGGCCCAACCTGATTTCTAAAAACGCTTGGCCAATCGCCGGGAAAGGGTGGCAACACATTGGGAACCCCTGACATATACATTCAGAACCCCTGAGACCCAGTTTGGTGTAGTGGTTAAATGTGCGGACTCTAATCTGGGAGGACCGGGTTTGATTCCCCACTCCTCCACTTGCACCTGGCTGGATGACCTTGGACAAGCTGTAGTTCTCTCAGAGCTGTCATTGAAAAAGAGCCGTTTCTGTCAGAGCTCTCTCAGCCCCACCTACCTCACAGGGTGTCTGTCTGTTGTGGGGAGGGGAAGGGGAAGGAGTTTGTAAGCCGCTCTGGGACTCCTCGAATAGTGAAGGGCCATGGGGTATAAATCCAATCTCTTCTTCTCTATATGCCCAACTGAAGCCGAAGGCCTCTTGGGAGGAGCCTTCAGAGGGACTGGCTGCCTGCACACATCCCCAGACCAACAGGGCTGTGAGCCTTCCGCTCTTCTCAGCACTGCAGGCTCATTTCACAAGCTCCATCTCCCGGTCCCAGTTCTAATGTAAACCCACTGGGCCAATGCCTGTGGACTTATTCTGAAAAGGGCGAGCCTGGATACTGCTTGGAGTCTCACAGAACCCTCCTCTTGCCAGTTTGGTGTAGTGGTGAAGTGCGCGGACTCTAATCTGGGAGAGCCGGGTTTGATTCCCCACTCCTCCACTTGCACCTGGCTGGATGACCTTGGGCAAGCCGTAGTTCTGATAAGAGCTGTTCTCGAAAAAGAGCAGTCTCTGTCAAGAGCTCTCTCAGCCCCGCCTACCTCACAGGGTGTCTGTCTGTTGTGGGGAGGGGAAGGGGAAAGAGTTTGTAAGCCACTCTGAGACTCCTTTGGGTAGTGAAGGGCCAGGGGTATAAATCCAATCTCCTCCTCCTCCTTCTTCCCTCTCCTCTCCTCCTATCAACATCATTCACAGGAGCAAACGAGGACCATGTCGATTCAGCCTCCTGAAGGGTTTGCTAATGCTTTTGCCTTGAATATCCCGTGTAGCACGACTTAGCTGTTCTCTGTCACGGGCCCGTCTGCCTTCCGGCCATCCCCCTTACCCTGTGACCTGCTGCTTGAGCTGGCTGCTGGTGCCCCAGCACAAGCCCCCATCGCGTTTTGTTCTGCACAGCAAGGCAGGTGTGTGCAGGGCTGTAAAGAAAGGCAATGGCTGGGAGCGGGGGCACTGGCCGTCAGGTGAGCCAGAGAGGAAGGGCAATGGCCGCAGCGCAGGATCGACAGGCCCAGCAAGGATCCTGGCCATGCACTGAGGAAGAGAGTCCTGGTAAACGGAAAAGAGGACGCTACACCCCCTTCCTCCTCTTCTTCTTCTCTGAGCTGAGGCAGAGTGTGCAAGCACGGCACCATGGCCAGGGTACACGAAGAAGAAGGGAGGAGACTGGGTTTATACCCCGCCCTTCACTTGGAGTCTCAGAGCGGCTTACAAACCCCTTTCCCTTCCCCTGCCCACAACAGACAGACACCCTGTGAGGTAGGTGGGGCTGAGAGAGCTCTTTTTAGGACTGCTCATGAGAGAATAGCTCTGAGAGAACTTGTGACTGACCCAAGGTCATCCAGCAGCTGCGAGTGGAGGAGTGGGGAATCAAACCCGGGTCTCCCAGATTGGAGTCCGCACACTTCACCACGACACCAAACTGGCTCACTACACCAAAACGGCAGGCCCCCACATTCCCGGCTGCCACACAAGCATTTATTGTTTGTACAATAACCTTGCGGCTATCATTTATCTGTTTAGAAGAATTTCATGCCGCCTCACCAAGGGAAATGGCCCAAGGTGGCTTGTGAAAGAAGAGCATAACAAAAACATAAAACATTAAAAAGTTGTTGATGAAAACCCAACCAGAGCGGAAAATGTAAATCGTTAAGCTGCTTAAAATGAATATATATTTCCAGCCAAACAACACACTGTGCACATGGTAGAACAAAGTTGTGAGCCTAGGGGCATGTGCAGGATGAACAAAGTTTTATTCAAGGTATAAGTTTTTGTGTGCAAGCACACTTCTTCAAGCACACGAAAGCTTCTACCTTGAATAAAACTTTGTTCGTCTTGAATGTGCCACCGGACTCAAACGTTGTTCTGCTGCTTCAGACCAACACAACGACCCCACCTGTATAAGTGCTATTAAGTGTAAGGATGGGTTGCTGGTGAACCAGATCAAGTTAATTCATGCCATAGTATTCTCCATTAAGAACATAAGAGAAGCCAGTGTTGGATCAGGCCAATGGCCCCTCCAACACTCTGGGTCACACAGTGGCCAGAAACACCAGGTGCCCTCAGGGAGGTCCAGCAGTGGGGTCAGGATACTAGAAGCCCTGCCACTGTTGGATACTAGAAGCCCTGCCACCCCAAGCACCAAGAATACAGAGCATCACTTGCCCCAGAGATAAGAACACAAGAGAAGCCATGTTGGGTCAGGCCAATGGCCCATCCAGTCCAGCACTCTGTGTCACACAGTGGCCAAAAATACCAGGTGCCATCAGGAGGTCCAGGGGCATCCAATGAAGCTGATAGACAACAGATTCAGGACAGACAAAAATAAATCCTTCTTTATACAATGAGTGATTATAATGTGAAATTTGCTACCAGAGGATGTAGTGATGGCCACAGGAATAAACAGCTTTAAAAGGGGATTAGATCATCAATTACATCAGCAACATCAACCAACATTAACTGAACTGGATAATACGAACTAACTATGCCGGAGGCCGACGGGGGCCATCTTTTGGAAACATCTGTCATGGCCACCGGGTTGTTATTGTCAGCTTGACTTTATTTTTATTTTATTCTATTTTATTATGAGCTACGCTTGTTATGTTTGTGCTTTTAATGTGTAAGCCGCCCTGAGCCTGCTTGTGGCAGGGAGGGCGAGATAAAAATTGAATAAATAAATAAATTCATGGAGGAGAGGTCTATTGGCAGCTGCTAGCCATGATGACTAAAGGGAACCTCCACATTCAGAGGCAGTCAGCCTTAGAATCCCAGTGCCAGGGGGCAAAATCGGGGGAAGGCCTCAGCCTCTTGGCCTGGTTGTTGGCCCTCCAGATGAACTGGCTGGCTGCTGTGTGAGACAGGATGCTGGACTAGATGGACCACTGCTCTGATCCAGCAGGGTTGTTCTGGTGTTCTTCTCAGGGGAAGGCCCCGGCTTCCCTGCTCTGATGTTGGCCCTCCAGAGGAACTGGTTGGCCACTGTGTGAGACAGGATGCTGGACTAGAGGGACCCTCACTGGTCTGATCCAGCAGGGCTCTTCTAATGTTCTTCTCAAGGGAAGGCCTCAGCCTCTATGCCCGGTTGTCGGCCATGCAGAGGAACTGGTTGGTTGCTGTGTGAGACAGAATGCTGGACTAGATAGTCCACTGGTCCGATCCAGCAGGGCTCTTCTGATGTTCTCATCGGGGAAGGCCTTGGCCTCTCTGCCCTGTTGTTGGCCCTCCAGAGGAACTGGTTGGCCACTGTGTAAGACAGGATGCTGGACCAGATGGATCCTCACAGGTCTGATCCAGCAGGGCTCTTCTGATATTCTTCTCAGGGGAAAGCCTCAGCCTCTATGTCTTGTTGTTGGCCCTCCAGAGGAACTGGTTGGTCCCTGGGTGAGACAGGAGGCTAGACTATTTATTTATTTATTTATTAAATTTCTACCCCGCCCTCCCGCCGAAGCGGGACCACTAGATGGACCACTGGCCTGATACAGCAAGGCTCTTCTGATGTTCTTATAAACCATTTTGTATTGTGTATATTAGCATGTATTCTTGCATATTGTATTCTAGTTGACTATATAAAATATTTATTTAAATGAACATTTAAAATGCCATGAGCCCCCCCTCCATGGCTCTTTCAGCACTTGAAAAGACATTTGGCAGGGGCACACAAAGCCACTTCACAATGATACCCTCATGGCATTTTAAAATCACTTTAAAATGGTGGCACATCCCTGTTGTGGACATGAGGACGTGGTCATGTCTGGTTTGGCCCTTAGGTTTGGTTTAGTTCGGCTTTTCAGTCTGGGGTGCGTATAACAATACAAGTGGACGGTGGTGGGCAAAAGCTAGTTGCATACAGTGTCCATTTTGGTTACCAACAGGACAGATGAAGAACAGTCAGTCACTATGTGCAAGAGCATCAGAATCAAGATGAAGGCTTCCCTTGGATATTCTGCCCGAAATGCCCTTACGTCTTTTATCTGAGTTCTCTGAATCTCTGCTTGTGATTTCATTGACTGGACTCCGGGACCAGCCATATTGCAAGACCTAAACTCTTTTAAGTGAGTCACTTGCAAATTGTGGCCCATTATCAGTAATTAACTCATTGGGACTCCCTTGGCAAAGATACAGAGATTTACAATGCCGCCTGATCCCAGAGATTTTCCGTGTGTCCTCCGATAGTATAATTTATAACACAAAAGCAAATAGCAGGGTGTGAATAAGAGGCAATTGGTCCCTTTTGTTGCTTGCTGGTTTGTGTCAAAATGATTGCAAGGGGGGGGGGGGAGCTGTGTTAGTCTGCTGCAGCAAAATGAAACAAAAGTCCAGCGGCACCTTAAAGACTAAGTATAGATAAATGTTGTTAGTCTTTGAGGTGCCACTGTGTTCTATTCTGGGTCAAAATGGCCCAACGAGCTACAGGA